TCAGTCTCTCTCTTCTTTTAAAAATGGGGGCAGCAGAGCAATATTCAAAAAATAATCTGCTATGGTTGGATGGCAGATCTTTCTTATGTGCCACCCTGATTGTTGACAGCATCCTCACAGCCCCAGTGATTGATGCTTGGTCCTTTGGCTCTGATAGCAATGAGAGTTCTTAAGTGTTTGGAGAGCAGCTGGGGGAGGCTGTCTCTCGTCCCCAGAGCAGCGTGCTGGCTGTGTCTAGCTCTGCAAGCTGAGCATGAGAACTGTCAAGCACATGGTCAGATGCTGCTAGGCACCCTCTCTTCTCAGCTTTGTAAGGTAAACAAACACCCCATCTCTTTAATAACCGTCTAGTTTATTAGACAGATGAGTCCCTTACCTCATTCGTCATTTTTATTTTTATTGTGCAGGCACTAGATGTATGTCTGAATGTATGTACTTAAGGGACAAGGGATGAGAGACCTTTTTATGAATCTGACCATGTATTTCTCAGAAGCCCATTACTAGGGGAAACTTGTTGCATAAATAATGTACAACTGCAGATGTTTAAGCCCTGTTTTCCTGCAATAGCTCATGGCTTCAGAGACACTATTTTTAAATATGTTCTAAGGAGTGCTAGAAGCAGTCAAGAGTAAGAAGGAACAGTTAGCATTTTAGAGCTGAGCAGTTAAGGTGAAATGTGTATTTCTGCCAGTGTTTCTTGCCTTTGTGTGTGCATGCATTCCCTATCTTTTTCTTTTGTTGTCATTGGATTTGTTGTAATCTAGATCTGCTGTCTCCCAAAGGTTTCGCTCCCCAGCAACAGCAAGGTGGCAAGTGTTACTCAGATTCGTTGCTGATGATTGTCTCAAATCAAAGTGGAGATGGCAGAAAAAGAGAGTGTGACAGTGCCTTAAAAAAAAAAGGGGTGTGTTTGTAATATTATTGTTGGTCCTGGGAAGGCTGTTTGTGTCCCACTGACTTGCTGTCTTAAATGCTCTTCTCTCTCTAAAATGTTTCATATA